TTGCCATACCAGGGTCTCCAGTCTTGTCACCCACTCATCCAGGGGCTGCTCTCCCAATAGATACATCCACATTACCACACGCTTCTGTAGCCACTGCTCATCACTGGGGAGACTCTCTCACCTCGCCGCCACTGGGCATCTTCCAGGACGTAATACTAGACTTCATTTCTGTCTTCATTCCTGTAGTCCGCGTCCGCCTCCTCCTCCTCGTCATGGAACGCTGTCCTAAAACTAGCCGATTCTATCCTGCTTCAGCCAGGGGCGCTGTACGGATACTAGCGTTGCCCTAAATATACTTACTTAAATACACGTTACCGGTGTCTCCGAGCTGCTTCTCCTCGCACTAGGATGCCATCCCACTGCTGCCACCACTGTAACATATTGTCTGGCACCCCGACCGGGTACCTTCCATTGACAGATGCTCCTAGTGCTTCCCGAGGGCTACATGCACTCCACTAGACACCATAACCACCACAGACCCTGTTACAAAGACTCAATATGACTTTATTATTGTTACCACATCTCGCTACTCTTGCACCTCAACCCCTTGCATACAGACCCCTAAACTATCGGTACGGAGAGGATACGAATGGATTACACAAATCATTACAAAGGACAATTCGTGGTACGAACGAGAGACCCCCCAGACTTTGGCGTGTGCCGCCACTTAACCTCATCACCTCTTGAAGTACTGAATGACCGACCACCCGACGAGCAGAGTGTGTCGCTCATTAACCACCTAAGTTGCTGCGGTCTGTGGTTAACCACAAACTAATTGGCGGGCCCGGAGGATCCACATTCGTATACAAGTTACCGAATGGAAACTGCCGAGAGACTCACGAACAGAGACCCCCTACAGTGGGTTGTGTGGCCGCAATTAGAATGTGGTTTCTGCGGTTAACCGCAGATCCTACCGGGCAGTCTCATTTCGTATGCCGAACGGTCTCAACAACCAGACTGATAGCGGGGATTCGTATGACTATGTATCCGATTTCCGTTCCATAAGTTTGAGTCGAGGTCCCGCTGCCCATTGAACCGCCTAAAAACATGGCCGCCATCAGGGACCAGTTTCCAATAGGCAGACCTCTCCTAAATCAAGAGAACAGGAACAGGAACAAGCTCTTACAAGAGCTTACTCTGGGGACTATAGAGATTATAGCAATCCCCAGAGTGTAGGTAGTTCTCCAATCCCCCAAACATGAGCCAAGGCATCATGATGGGTAGAACAGGTCTCTTTAATGCAAGCCAGCACTCACAGTTTATACAATTACTCAGGCCAGAGGCACTCCCCCTGGGCCTGATGGAACACAGGCACACAAACCAATCAGAACAATATAACAATGTCCGACACTCCCACATACAGCACACAAGCCCTCCCCTCTACATAGCCCCGATCTGAGTGAACAACATATCCAAAAATCAGCCAGATCAGTTCAGGGGTTCAGAAATTTCCTGGAAATCTTATTTTTGCCCCACCATGCACATGGTCCCATGCCCAAAACAGGTCCATACACTCGACGACAAAACATTGCTGGACAATTTAAGATTGCCGCCGCCACATGTTTGAATCTGTTCCAGTTAAAACGGTGCCTTTAAAATCCAATATGCCCAAATAGTGTTTTTAAAGGGACATATATCCCAGGGGCCATAGTCACAGGGCAAGAGGCTGGCAAGGAGGCCTCTCCAAGTCCCAGTGACGAAGGTGCTTTCGTCACACTCCGGCATTGAAGTTGTTACAGACTTATGCCTTTCCAAGACAAACGATTGTTTATCTCTCAATTCTCTTTTGGCCATGTTGGGTTGATACTCGGGGTTGGCATTGCTAGTGGAGGGAATTGCTACATTGCTGGGACAAAAGTTAACAGTATGAGCTGCTGAGGAACATATTGTGCAAGAAGGTGTTTTGAGACCCGTAAAATGTCTACAAAATAATTCAGTGTCTAACTGGCTCAGTCGGTAGGTGTTTGTTTTTTTTTTCTTTTATTCTCTGGCTGGGCTATAGGTACTGGAGTCTCTGGAATGGTTGGTCTGCTATCCGATTTCAAATTATCCAACCTGTTATTTATTGTGGCTACAGAAGACACTAGCGATCATTGTGATGTCGCGAACCCGAAATTTTCGGTTCGTGAACGGCGAACTCGAATTTCCGCAAATGTTCGCGAACCGGCGAACCGCCCGAAACGCCATTGACTTCAATGGCAGGCGAATTTTAAAACATACAGGGACTCTTTCTGGCCACAATAGTGATGGAAAAGTTGTTTCAAGGGGACTAACACCTGGACTGTGGCATGCCGGAGGGGGATCCATGGCAAAACTCCCATGGAAAATTACACAGTTGATACAGAGTCTGGTTTTAATCCATAAAGGGCAGAAATCACCTAACATTCCTAAATCACAATTAATATGGATTGACACCTGACATATGACATATTGACACCTTGACATATGGATTGACACCTGTCCTCAGAGCCCCTGATGCACACGGACTTAGAGCAGAATAGAGACTGGTCCCCCTACATAGGGTCACTTGGCAGATATGGATTGACACCTGTCCTAAGGATCCCTAATACACACTGACACAGAGCAGAATAGGGACTGTTCCCCCTA